AAACATTTCCCCCCTCTGCTCACGTCTGGCTGGGAAATCTGCTTGATGTTTTTCTGACCTGCCTATGAATCTCCACAAAGACAGAAATCCTGAGGTAAGCACTATGCTGCCTTTGTTCCCTTGTTGTGAGGTTGGGGCAGAGAGAAGATGAGAGCAGCACAAGAGGCAATTTGGACAGAGGGCTCAGAGAAGCAGTATTGAAAGTGCAAAGGGGTGTGGAAGTACCAACAGCTAGCAATGAAAAAAAAGGAAATGCAGGACAGATGAGGAAGGCTCATGCTATTTTCTGCTATCATCAATCTCTTGAAGGGCTGGAGTTTTGGTGTTAGTCTCAAACTCCACGTTCTGACTGTCCCCAGCACCCTGTCACATTGGGACGAGTGATGGGCACACAGGACACACGAGGAGCACGGCAGCACGTGTAGCTGTGCCAGACCAGAAAGCCAGTGCCTTTCTCTGTTATCATGCTTGTGATGAAGCCCTTGAGGGTTTGGGAAAATCCAAGGAGAAGTATTTTTTTTCTTTCCAAGCTAGGTACATTTCTTAAACAGGATCTGGGCACCTGGACAGCACAGCACTTGGGAACCTGTTTGGGGTTTAGGAAATACAGAAATACAAGCAGCATATCAAAGCTGCTTTCTGCCAAGCCTCCTGCTCTGGGTATTTCACCTTTCTGTGAGCCACAGGCAGTCCCTGAAACTCATGGAAGGGTGGAAAAGCCTTGTGAGATTTGTCAATACCAGATTAAAAAAAAAAAAAAAAAAAAATCAGGCTTTTATCCAACATGCTAATTCTAAAAAGTCTGCCTTCCAACAGTTCAACTTTGTTTCAGTGAATGTCTCACCTTCTAATAAATATCCTTTATGATTTCTATGGCACAGTTGTTTTGCAGTGAAATGTGGAGGTGATGATCACTGGGTTGATTGACACCTAGTTATTCAATCAAACATACTCCTATTCAGCTAGTCACAGACCACACGTGTGAAATGTGATGCTGAAACAACTTTTATTAGGCATTTTGGAGGGGGCTCAGGAGGAAAATCAGTCTTGCAATGCAAATCTTAACTATGTTGCAGCTACTGTAGCACCATAACACTATTTTCTCTTCTGCTGGCAATTTAGCAGCAGCAGTACTGAAGACCAGAGGAATTCCCTATGGAGGGACAGATAACAGCGCACATTTATTGGGAGGATGGGGGGCTGGTTTCTTAACAATGGAATTATACACAGCTGGATTTGGTAGTTCTCAGCTGGCAAACAAATTTTCAGCTATAACTCACTGTGCCTTTTTGGGTGGGAAAAATGGATTTCATGTAAGTATTCCTTTCTGGGTCCATGAAAGTTATAATGCAGGCAAGCTGATTGGCAGATTTATAAAGGCAAAAATAGCCACTCCACTTCATACAATGCTGAAGCCAAGTCGTACTGGGAGCTGAGACACCAGGCCATGATGCATTCATGTAAGGCAGTAATTTACTTCCTCGGGAAAAATATATGTTCTAAATCTCACACAATATTTTATAAGATGTTTCTCCTAAAGAGTGGGGGCATGAAAATACCTTCATCATAGCTTAGAAATGGATGATGGCTCAACAGAGCTTCTGGAAAACCCATTTCTTTACCCCATCTCCTCTCTCCTCAGGCACTAGCATTTTTCGGTAAGAAGGGTTAGTCCAGACCTCTCTCTCTCAGACTAGCAGGATCTCAGAACAGTCTGCAAACTTTGTAAAATACCCACAGGCAAGCCAAAACAAGCAAGTACCTTAACTGTCTCAGTTACAGAATCATAGAATAGTGTGGGTTGGAAGGGACCTTAAAGATCATCTACTTCCCACCCCACACACCAGGCAGGGCCCCCTTCCCCCAGCCCAGGGTGCTCCCAGCCCCGTCCAACCTGGCCTTGAACCCTTCCAGGGAGGGGGCAGCCACAGCTGCTCTGGGCACCCTGGGCCAGGGTCTCACCACCCTCACAGAAAAGAATTTCTTCCCTCTACCTAATCTGAATCCACCGTCTTTCAGTTTAAACCTGTTACCCCTCATCCTATCCCCACACCCCCTGATAAAGGGTCCCTCCCCACCTTTCCTGTGCCCCCTTTAAGCCCTGGGAGGCCACTCTAAGGTCTCCCCGGAGCCTTCTCTTCTCCAGGCTGAACCCCCCAACTCTCTCAGCCCGGCCTCCCAGGGGAGCTGCTCCAGCCCCCCCAGCATCTTCATGGCCTCCTCTGGCCCCGCTCGAGCAGCTCCGTGTCCTTCTGCTGTTGGGGGCCCCCGAGCTGGCCCCAGCACTGCAGGGGGGTCTCCCCAGAGCGGAGCAGAGGGGGAGAATCCCCTCCCTGGCCCTGCTGCCCCCCCTGCTCTGGCTGCAGCCCAGGGCACGGGTGGGTTCTGGGCTGCAATCACACGGTGCTGGCTCACAGGCAGTTTTCCCCCACCAACCCCCCCAAGTCCCTCTCCTTGGGGCTGCTCTCCAGCCACTCCTCGAGGGCCCAGCCTGGGTTTGTGCTTGGGATTGCCCCGACCCCTGGGCAGGACCTTGCCCTTGGCCTTGTTGAACTCCATGAGGTTTGCCCGGGCCCCCCTCTCCAGCCTGTCCAGGTCCCTCTGGATGCCATCCCTGCCCTCCAGCGTGTCACCCACCACACAGCTCGGTGTCCTTGGTAAAATTGCTGAGGGTGCACTCCATCCCACTGTCAAACAGTGGTCAAATCAAAGAGCTTTCTGACAGCCACCATTTCAGATTACCTTGGGAATGATTTAGGTGCCTAAGCCAAAGTACCCCAGGCAATATGAATAATGCACACTGTGGCTGACAACACCTAACCAAGACCCCTGTCCTTATAGCCAAGTAGCTGGAGCACAGGCAGTGAACCTCATGGCAACTTAAATTACTTAGACATTTATGGTTTGGCACCTGAATTACTCTGCTGATGTTTCAAACCACAGTAGAGTGCTTTCTTCCTTCTGTATCCTCACTTTGTACAAGGGGATGTGATATCAGAAACCCAGAAAGTGGAAGCTACAATTATGTATAGAAAGGCATTTAATTATAATTCTTCAGCTGCCATCTCTAACAGCAGAAGAGTATTTGGGCTCTAAAATCCCAAAACAATGCTGAGCATTTCCTTTACCCAAATAACTTCTCTTGTCAAGTTTCGTAGCAATGTCCTTTCATTTTAACAAGGGGACTCAAACCCCCTTGTAAACGTAATAGCTCAGCCTCAAAGGCCTCCTCTAATAATTCATAGTCCTGCTCTTAAACCTGTGTCTTTTTTTTGCCAATTCCTCACTGCATTTCACCCCAAATTTTGTCCTCCTCTGAACTGTGATGAGTTTTGGGAGCTGCTCAGTAGACCAAACAATTTCTTCTGTCATGAAGGAACTAAAGCTTTCAGAAATTTTTGAGAAGATCATTATTCAAGGTTTCTGGAGAACTATTTCGGTCTCGGGTTTCAAGAGCAATTTATTCATTAAGCTTAATCTTACTCCCATTACAGCCAAGCCTCACAGATACTCTGTGGTAGTATTATTCTATTTAGTTTCTCATGTTATTTCCAGAAATTAACTGCAGTTCTTCTTTCTATTACTGTTAAGCCCCACTTATTTTGGCTAAACTAACAGAAAATTAATTTAAAACCAAAGCTAGTTACAGTTTTGGGCTGGTTTTATTATTATTATAACACTATATCCATACAAAGTGTTACATTACCTGCAAGTACACAACAGCAAGTTAAAAATTGGAAATACTGTTAAACTTGTGTTTATGAGAAATGCACTTATTTATGTCCTTCTGTGCAGATACCACAGAGAAGACAAAAAGCAAATTTTTAAAGTGCCAGCCTTACCTAAGCGCCAATGCCTCAGTTTTAGGAGACAAGCACAAATGTTACAGTCCCAGTTTTCTCAGTGCAAACCCAAATGAGACCAACAGAGTAACTGTGTCACTCTCTAGCACCTAAAATCCTTGGCTCAGTATTTTCTAGGAGAGGAACTTGTGTCACACTGCCTGTCCTCTGGTCACCTCTCCAATCCATCACCATCAGAACAAACATGAGATATCAGCCTCTAGCCCTGTCAGCACTGACTGCAGAAGATCAACGGCCCTCCCAATACTCCATGCTAGTGTGAAGGTGGGAATTTTGTCTGTGTTTTGAGAGAAAAAATAAAAACATTCTTTAGCTTTTAGATTTTCTGAAGAAAAACAAATTACACACACATACGCACACACACAAATTGCCACCAAACAACCAGCAGTTCTCTGGAGCTGCTCAGAGGCTTGGTTTACTGAAAATATTCTCATTGGGTATGGATTAGTAGGCAAACAGCAGGGGAAAGAAGTCAAAGGTGCAAGATAAATTGGGTTTGTTACAGAAGCTGTAATTTATCATCACAATATTGCCAACATAACTGTAGAGAATTATATATAAATGTAATAAAACAACTGCTATATTACATCTATTATCCCAGAGTCAGGTTCGGTTATCTTTTTCTCCTGAAGAAGAGTATTTTCCTGCAAATAATGCCACTGAAGCTGGCCATTTGTATTTTAAGAGACCACCTATATTACCTTACATGCAAATAATAGTATAAACAACAGTGTATATCAAAATATTAAGAGCATAAAATTACACATTGAAGGTGGTAAGTGAAATGTTATGTAGTTCCCTAGAGGTGAAAGTTCCCTCTTATGTTCAACAAAGAAGTAAAGACAGCTGAAGCAGTGAGAGCTCTGGTTAAGCAAAATACATGAAAACATGAAAGACCTCTCTTCTGGAAAAATACACAATTAAAGAGCCATTGTCCCCTCCATGCACCTGTCAAAACTGCTGGGGAGTTGTTGGAGTGAAGGTGAAGAGGGGGGGAGAAGAGAAAAGCAGCTACTGCAAATAAGCAGAGTATTTTATTAGAGAGTTATCTCTTTCTTGCAAGAATGAGTGCTCAAATGGATAATACCCTTCTGTGAAATCCAGGTTTCCAGCTTCATGTTAAGAAGAGGCTCTTACCTTATGGGATTATCCATTCTTGATACTGTGAGAAATGCTGCTAAGTTTGCTGTGTAGGAAGAACACACGATAAGGGTGAAGAGCCACCAGCTTCCCATTACAATGCGCATAGCCACAGAATTGACAGCAGATTCACTCCCTACAAATGAACAGAGAAAATGAGGGTCTTTCAGCAGCTTCCATTTACAATTACCCGCCATGTGCCCTGTTATGTTAAACTTTGTTGGAGCTACCCCTCTGCATTTCTGCTTCCCTTCCAGATCATCCTTTCACTGTGAGAAAAGCACTGATTCTGTTAAGATTGATAATTTAAAAACATCTTCTCCAGTCAACTCTTGCGCTGCATACTGTTCTAGAAAAGATTGGGAATTACTGAGGATCAAATCTACAGAAGAAGAAAAATACTCTAAATAAAGAAAGTTTAATGGTGAAGCGTGACTAACATACAGGAATTAAATCATTACAATGTTGAGCATATAGTAATATTCTGTTTTCAATGGCCATTTTAGATTTACAAAAAACCCACAGAACTGTTCAATGGTTTGTGTGCTATCTGTGCTGCATTTAAATCTGCAAAGAGCGAAGCATTAGTGTCATTACTTGTTACTCTTTACAGCATTTGAAACAATGTGAAGATTTCCTACCAGTAGGCTTCAAGCACAGCTATGCTTGAACGTTGTTGGAGACCAAACCTTACCATACAGATGGCATTAGTCACTTCAGTGTATGTTTGTGCTGACTGTATCTTACTGTACTTAAACCCATCAGAGATGCCACCTTAATGAGATGAGGGATGAAGTTTCATAGCAATAGTAAGGATTTTCCAGCTGAAGCTTTATAAACTTGCAACCACAATGAAAAAATGAAAAAAAAATTAACAACATACTCATGTTAGTATACAACAAAACCTGCCTCCCAAGAATAGTACTAACATTATAGATATGGGAAAAAAACTGTGTAGGCAGATTTTGCAAACAATTGTTTACAAAAGTAACTTTGTTAATGGTAGTAATTTTACTGAATTCAGTAGGATTAGTCCTATGCCTAGAGATTTCAGAGTGTAAAGTTTTTTACATGACTACAAATTATTTTCCTATTCAGTTCAAAGAACCAAAAGATAAACTGTCTCACTTTAGTTCAAAAGCATGTAAATTTCTAAAATTAAATTTAAACAATTAGAAAAGCTGCTAGTTTCAGAGGTGGAGAAGTATTGTAATTTTGCACCAAGCCAGCCCTGTAGTTTATTTATTCCGCAATAATTTTCCCAAAGTGGAAAGGTCTGCTAAAAGTTTTTGTGGACTTACTGAGACACAGAATAGGAGAAGATAACCCCCCTCAAATTTACCTACTTCTTCCCACTTTTCATCATCTGGGCTAGTGAAACCTATTATCTCCCCGCACGAGCCTTCCCTTTCATTTTTAGACCATTCCAGCCAAGACTAACACGTCCTGACCTGCTTCACCCAAGGCAGAACATTTCTGAACATCCATCAGTGGTGTTTATGAGAGAGTAAGTACCTTGCTGAACAAAGGCGCCGTACACGACCCAGATGGCACTGTGGAGGGTGGAGGAAGCAGAAGGGCTCGGCTGGGAAGCGTTCTGTGTCCTGACTGCCTGGATCCGGTTCAAGACAAATATCAAGACGCCGACAATGGGGATGGCTGCAGCAATGCAAGCCCACACCGCAAAGTCGAAAGGAGCAAAGAGAGAGAAGATGTTGATTTTCTCTTCGGGTTTTTTGATTAATATCCCCACGGAATAGTCCATGTACCGCTTGCTGAAGTCCACAACGCTCTCTCGTTCTGGTGTTATAGTGATGGCTGAGATGGCTAGGTCTGCTCTCTGTGAGACAAATGCAACGGATCAGATCTCTCCCTTTCACCATGAATTTGGCCAGCGTGAGCCTTAAGGAGAAACTTTTTAAGAAACAAGTGACTCCATGCATTTCTTTCTATAACTTAACACATTTAGAGAAATTTAAATAAATTGTCTAAAAATAAAACCAGAATCAGTTTCATCATTTGAACATTAGTTAATTGCACAGGTCTAAAGCAGAATAGTGAAACGTAACCTGTCAAAGTACTCAAGAACAAAAAGCCTCACCCTGACTCCTCTCTGGAATAAGTGCAACCTATCTGACTTTAACCCTCACTTGTTTTCCACAGGATGCCTGAAACTCCAAACCATACTAACCTGGTGCATTGCAAGGAATAGAAACACTATTTCGTTAGTTTGTGTATATGATAGCAAGGTGCAAAGAGCTAATGTTTGTCCTCTCTGCAGAGCTGCCAACTTATCATATTCATTAAGGGATTTCATATGACAACTGGGGGGAAGGCTTTTCTTGTTTTTTTTTTTTTTACAATGAATAAAGTGATTGCAAAAACTAGTAACTGGAAGAATGCACCAAAGGCAACTTAGCTCCTGAAACTGCTTTGAGCTCAATATTTAAAGCGAGTAGGTTTTACACGTAGAGGGTCCTTAAAGAGTACAAAAACTCAGTGAAAGATAAACCAGAAGTTAATAAATAAGATTCGCAAAGCTTTTGAAGAGCTGGAATTAGATTTTAAATATTCTTCCATCTTAATAAAAACAGTTATCTTCGAAAAATAGAATGTGCTTTTTGTTTCCTATCTCTACATTTTGCTGGGAAAGTAAAGCAAATGTTAGGTGAGGGAGGTCTGCTTTTAAATACTTTAGAGTCAGTGAAAGAGCTAGTTGTAGAAATACCATTAAATATCATAATAGATATTTTCTTCCTTCAAATAAAGCAATTTCCAAAGAAATTTAACAGGATTTCTTAGCACATTTTCAAATCAATGAAATTCAAACAGCTTATGTCAATGCAAAATAAGTAAAAAATTCTTTATATTTCCTAGGACTAACCAAGAATGTCCCATTATCATATACACATCTGCTATTGCTTTAATTGCTTCTATTTCTTCCTAAACATCTACTTACCAGATACTGAGCCGCCTACTTACTAGATAATGAGAAAGCTTTCACTTTCAGTAATAACTCCACTGCAGAAGAGTAACCTTTTCTACAAAGGGCAGCAACATAGAATATTAATTCCTTTGATTCTCCTTCTTGATTAACATTTGTCCCATGTCAGATAGTAAGAACATGAACAAAATACACTCTAATTTCATTCTCTGGGAGATTCTGAGGTACAAACTTTTCCCATTTACTTCGATGGAGTTCAATTAATTTACTCCTGATTTGCAAGACTGTAATTAAGAAAAGAAATTTGCTCCTCTGTTTTAAATGAACGAATAATCTTGAGATCAGTTTAAATTCTGGTCCTTCAGAACACTTCTTTATGGTATATTACTATGGACGCTTTTCCTGCTTTGGAGTCAGACAGTTGATCATTATCAAACACATTGCCACAAAGTGACCTAAATAAAGTTACACCTACAAACATGTAGCAAAAACATAGTGACAAAAATTAAAATAATAGTAATTAATATTTTAAGAAGAATGCATTTTTTTTATCTATTTTCTAATGTCATTGATTCACACACACACATACATGCCCTCTCTTCCTATTCTTACAGCTATGTAAACACAGAGATTTACACTGATATAATTTACGTTGAGAACAGTTGGGAGTAAATAGAACAACAGACTCTCTAGTTCCTGTCCTGTATACAAGGTCTTAAATCACACAGTGTACACCACACTCAAACCACCCACAGCTCAGAAGTGTTCTGCGTTGATGCTTTCATCCTAATTCATTCTCTTGTAATTTGGAATGGAAGAAGGGGAGAATTTAAAAAAACATCCTTACAAAGCTTTGACACCCTACTCCAAAGCTTCTCCTCTGTATACCTTGTTAATGAGCTCTCCAATCATGCCATTCCAGGAGCTGTTTTGGAGCTGCTGTCCATATTTGCCATCAGGAGCTTGATATATCTCATACTTGAAGCCCAGGTTCTTGGCAAGTGCGTCCAGGACATCAATGGAAAATCCTTTATATCGTTTTGGTTGCCCGAGTATGTTCTCTGCCACCATCACAAAAGGTTCTTCCTGAGAACAAAACAATATCTTAACTGACACTTGAAACAAGTTTTTTAGTTTGCTTCTCTTAGCAAAATGATGTTTCCTGAGTTAATTCTGGACAACTTGGCACAGATTTTGAGACACTCATAACCTTCTAAGGCAAAAACTGTAGGTTGCGTGGGATACTACAAGGCATCTCAACCAGACAGCTCTGCCTCAGCACCTGAGTCCTATCTATGGCCTTGGTTTTTCCACAATTCTTGAGAAGAGGCAGAGACTCCAGAAGACAATTCAACTCCCCTCTAGCTGCTTCCTGGTGCCCACAGGATGAATTGCTCTCTGAAATACCTGCCTCTTCTCAGTGACTATAAAGAAGACACAGACACCTGTCTTAGTGCCCTAACTAGCTGTCTAGAATATAAAGTTAAGCATGAGTCCTAGATAGGAACATTACTACTGTCCATCTATCTCAGACCATATCAGATTTAGAAAGCCAGCTTTTACAGAAAATGATTAATCGTTTATCCAGGAGGCATACTTAAACAGAAGCTAAAAACACTGCTTTTTATGACTATTTAAAATTTTGAAAATTCAAAGAATAATCTTTATGGGTACTGGTTCCTGAAGTATTTTAAATTAAAGTATGCTTTGGGACCAAGGAAATGCTGTATTTTGTGGTGTGTTTTCAGTCAGGGAAGAGCATCCAGCTCTCCAGTGGGGGAACACTGGAGCTGCAGGCAGCACAGCAACCTGGTACTGACATTCTCGTGGAAGGGACCTGCTCACCTCCCATTTAAACTAGAGCACAACCTTACCTGTCACCAGACAGAGAAAAAAACTGGGGACTGGAGGGAGTACCTTAATGATCCTATGCGGTACTTCCTATTTGTAACATGATTCAGAAAAAGAGAAATAAAAACCACGGAAAGCACATTCTGCAATCTGCAAACTACAGTATTTTAGCCAAGAATGCATTCAAGACCCAATTTAGCATGTAGCTGACAGGAGCTCTGCTACCACTCTAGATATTAACAGACAGTAGTCCCAAAAGCATAATGATTTTTTTGAAAGACTATGCCTTTCTAAAAGATACAGTTTATCTCAATGAGAATTTATGAGCTTGGTGGAGGAAATACTTGATTAAATTTTACAGGCTGCAGTGTACACGAGCCAAGATTTGATTATCATAATTGGCCCATCTGATCTTAAAATCCATGAAATGCTGGAAACCACGTATGTGAGTTAGAGTATGGTATCTGGAATGAACCCCTGTGCACTCGGGCCCTGTGCTGGATCCATGCCCAGTAGGACTTACAATGCAGAAAAACAGCATAAGCAAACAAACGCTCCATATCTCCCACAGTGCACAGCTTCACATGAAATAATAAAAGGCCATCATCTATCTTCCTTGCTTTTGTAAATGATCATCCAAAAATGAAGAACTGAAAATGATAGGGAAAAATACTGAGGGAAGTGCCCATAATACTTAGTCAGATCCTTTTTATTTTGAGCATTTTCTTTCCTGAACTCAAATAGGATCATACCAAGACAGTCACCACTTTGAGTGTCAATCCTTGTAAGTCATTGCCCAGACGTCGTTCTTGTAGGCTACCGTTCAGTCCTTTCTCAGAGTCCCACGTTGCCAACTAGAACAGAAAGTATAGTGAGTCTGAAGGACTGTTAGGCAGAAATCTTTCAGTATTTACATAAACATTTAACAGTAGCTTGACCGAATCCAGAACTGATGTAGAGAGGATGAGAGATGTGTGGCTTTTTTTTAAAGCAGAATCAGAATTAGTGAGATGCAGAGGACAGGCATAAACAAGTGCCTTGCCTGAATGTATTTTCATTGATGCCTGTAACGTAACTACTCTCTTATCTGTAGCATTCTTCACATTATTTCACTTAGTTCACTCTGATATGACATGTCTCTCCAGTAAGTTTATATTGCCTGACAGTCCTCAGGATTATCTGTGGTCTCACTATCTCATATTTCCCTCTCTGCTCAGATCCCCTCCTGCTTTTCAAATCATTCCCTACTGCTTATCAAAGATCAATCTTTTTTTCCTGCTGTACAATGTTCTCATTCACTGATAGTCATAAATTTTTCACACAGGTTCTATGGTGTCAAACTGTCTCCTGTTCTCTCTCGGACTTTCTCCAGATCCTATCTAAAGTCCTATTTTCTCTGTTCTTGGCCTACTTCTACCTCATCAGTAAAACAATGACACACTCTCAAGTTCCCAGGCTCCTGGTGATCAAACATCTCATATCTATCAGTATTTCATTCATCTGCTAGGTATACCTGCATGTATGTTTTCAAGATATCTCCCTGGAATATTACATCTAAATATTTTATTTTTCAATTAAATGTATCTCTTTAAAAATCAATTTTGCTGCATTTTCTGAAGAGAAATGCACTACAATGCAATAGAATAGGTTGAATAGGCCCAACCCAAACTATTCTATGATTCTATGAATCAACAGAAAAGTCAATCTTAAGTGACCTTCAGATTATTCAAACTAAGTATGGTCTTCAGATGCAGTGGCAGTCAGACACTACTTTTGCCTTCAGACATAATCCACGGTGTCATTTTGTTCAGAAGAGTCATAAATAGTATCAAGTAGAAACTGTTTCCTTCTTTTTTTTCCACTTCTACTCTTAAACACCAATACTATGCTCACATATGTGGAAGCAGTGTTGTTAGCTGAAGGCATGCCCTGTAGAAATTAAACATAGTCCAAGATCCGTGAAATGTGGCTTCTTCCTGCCAGAAGCTAATTTTCATGTACCAAGTCAAAACTTTCTTGGAAAGAACTTATTTCACTAAAAATGCCTATGGCTAGATGTCCTACAAGATTTATTTCTGTGACTTCAGTTTTATCCTAAAGCCTCAGAAATAAAACCAACAAATAAAATGTGATAGGAGAGATCTGTACAGTTTTATTTTTGTTTTGTTGCAATAAACTGATAAACAGAGAACTAGAAAAGAATAGGACATTCAGTGAATATTCAGCCATAAGCAGCACAACTGATGAAAATTATTCCATAGCCACTAAATATTCAAAACTGAGACACACGGGAGAAAATAATTAAGCTACACCTCCTTTTATCCAGATGACCTGGAAAATGGAGGAGGAGAATGACTAAATAATATTCAGCTTTCTAATGACACTCCTGAAAGCTAAAGTATCTAAAATTGAAAATTCTCCCCCTATGATGTCAGTTTGGAGTGACAGATGAGCTTCTGCACATAAAAGTGTCTGGAGCAATACAGGTAGATACCTATAGCCATGGTATCTTTTAAATGTGAGTTTAGATGCTTGCTCTGAAATACATCCATGTGTTTCTTAGCTTTTGCTATTGCCAAACCAAATAGACAAATTTGTCATCTGACATAAATCAATGTGGTTCAACAGACTTCAAAAACTGGCATAGGTGTGTGTGTGGTATATATTGTGTCTCAAATCTGTGAAGAAAGTTCACCATCTAAGCCTTCTTCAGCTGTCTTATGAAGTAAGTATATGACAAAGATACATGGATGGTTTTGGCCAAAATGGCCTGCACAATCTACAGATGATGAGTAAATATTTATTAAAAAATGGGAAATGTAATACATTCATTTATTACTTCACCACTGGTGGACTGACATTTAAATTCCTTCTCCCACTACTTCTCCTTTCAAAAATTCTATCTGATTTCACATTAAGGCCTTAGACTTTTTTAATACTCTAAGTTTCACATTCTGCATTTACTCTAAGAATTCCAAAAAGGAACTGGAGATGTGCCAGTGCAAAACCATAAATTTATTCCTTTTGTTCAAAAGGAACAAGACAAAGATACCTCTTTTATGCAGTAGGGGTAGGGAGCATATTTCACTTCAGCACAGAGCTCCATAGTGTTCTCTATGGAGGCACAAACTTTTCAGTCTCTAAAAAGCAAACTATGAAGATAAAGTTGATAAATGGAACATGAGGAAAACCATTTCTAGAAGGGATTTTTCCTGTGCATCCTTGTGCTTCAGAACATTTTATTTGTTCAGAAGTGTGCCAATTTTAACTTCCACTTCTTGCAGACAGAATATTGTTTATAGGACCGATGTATTTACAGATACATCTATCAATTTGTGACAACTGACCTGTCAAGATCAGTGTCTGAGAAACTAATTTCCAGCACTGTTAAACACAATGAGTACTGCTGTTATTTGATAAGGCTGTTAGAGTTTCATTCTTTGTAGAAATATGTACCATGTTCCCATCAGAAGTCTGAAGCCAAAGGTTATAGCACAGCCATCAGCTGATAGGAGATAAAGGGCTTTTAGATCTGATTATGACAAACAACTGCTTGCAGAATCAGCACTTGTAGGATGTATTTCAAAAATCAATGGTCTCTGGAACATATATTTAATGGCCGTCTGGTGGGGGTTTTTTGATTCTCCATTTACTCGGTTATGGGATTTCAAGTTTTGAAAAACAGATACTTTATTAAAGCTTTTCAATTTAAACCTTCTTCCTAGCTTCTCTTTCAGAAATAGCCATTTTGCTGGGAATCCTATAGTTCTAGCCACGCATCAGAAGCTCAGTGATCCAATAAAGGCCAAACAGAGGAAACAAATGTGAAATTCAGATAAAAAGGTAATTTGTTGGAAAATTCTGGCTCAAGACTTACTTCTAAACTTTATCAATATTTACTGCATTTTCAACCAGCACTGCAAGGAAAAACTTGCAGAGAGAAAATCACAACTTTAACATCGTTTTCAACCTCCACAAGCAATGTACAGCTCCAAACACACATACTCAACACACAAGCAAAATAATTGCATGGCTAGACAACCTAGGAATGTCAAAGGATAAAGGATGTCATCCAAACTATGTCTCCTGAACCTGCTGTCCAGGACATTGTCCTGAATAGTACTGATATATGTCAGGACCTCAAAGAAAACTTGATGTCAATGTAACTTTAGGGTTCCTGAGTTCCCCCTGATAAACCAGAAGTCAAATTCTACAAAGGCGTTTCATGACTTTGTTAATGATGCAGCTGCTGGCTGCCCAACACTTACTCGAGCTATTAGTTCCCCAGGGGAAATCATATTGAGATGTCACAGTAAGCTCACACCAGAGAATATCAGAAACAGCTCCACAGAAGTGTGAAGACCCTCATCAAAACAATAAGGCAGACAATCCTTCTGCTCAAATGAATCAAGGCTGCATGGATTAAACACTGAGTTGCAAGGTTTACTACCTCCTGTGAACCGGAGCATACAGATTGAGAACCTGAGTGCCACTTCCTTTAGGAGACGAAACTGATGATAAACTCAGCTATTGGTTACACATCTGTTTGTCTGCAAAGTCTGCATGTTCATGCTATTCTATTACACAACAATTACATATTCCTTGAATGAGAAACTTATTTAGTTTTCCTAACTCTGCTGCGAATGCTCACACTACTGGACTACAGCAAATGTCTGTTTCAAGCCCAAACAAATGGAGAAGAAAATTATCCCAAACTACTAATAAATACAGTTGAAAACTGAAATTAGCATAAAAAATTAATATTTAATGTTTCTATCACAACAGCGAGCAAGATCATCTACACTATTTTAGTTGATGATGGAGTAGTTATTATCCAAATAACGCATGCCACTGCTATCTAACATCACTTTAAGTATGATAACATCCTAAACATGATCTACTTTTCAGGGAAAATGTGGATCCCGTAAGAATTCAAACAAGATATTTTTTAGCAGATGTATAGTAATGTTTCAAAGGACTACAATCAATCCAGAGCATCTATCTTCTATCTTACCAAAACCTGAAAACTTTTATCTGGTGACACCTTTGGAGCTAAGGTTACAATATCCAAAGAAATTAAATTTAGGAACCCCTGCCTTGAAACCTGAAAAACTTCTAACAGACAGGAAACTTGAAGAGAGCACAAGGGAGGTGGTTCTCATGCCATGAGGCAGAGACACCTGTATGAATCCACAGCACATTTTCTATGAATATGAAAGCTGTTCTGCGCATGGAGTTAAATAAATTAATGTATGTCACTCACAGCCTGATAATGCTTTTAGACTGAAGTTGAGTTGAAACAGATTTCACTTCAATGACAACTTGTTTCTCAAATTGAAGTCAACATAGGGTATATCAAACATGATGTCCTTGCACCATGTACATACATTTTGCATGCTGGGGCCTCACTCCCCTTGCCAGTCTTGCAATATGGCTAAACACTTACTGAAATATTTAACGTTATAAAAGCAGATTTTAATTGAACATGATGATAATAATAATAATAATATAAAAAACCTAAATAAAAAAAATTAAACAAGAAAATTAATGCTCACAGGAGACAAATATGAAATAAGACAGTGGCCCATTAAATAAATGGAGCAAATTGGACACACCTTCATTGCAGTTCTAAGGAATAAAAGGAATTTAAATAGTAAGTAAAACAAATATTTACATTTAAGTCCACAATTCTTTTTTAAGTGGAGTATATCAGTAATCTAGAGAAGTTGCTGTCATTCAATGTAGTTCACAACAAGGTATTCATACAACTCACACATTGGATTATATGTCATTCTTAAGGAGCTGACAGGATTCCATGAAACATCATTTCCATTTTTATGACTGGAGTTGCCTT